AAACAATATTGCGCTGAGCTTTTATACCCTGGATTCTGTTCACACACACCTGACAGTTTGTAGAGCATATGCAGATTCCTCTTTCAGGAAGTTAACTGTGATACTAAGGGTATGGTCCACTTTCAGGGAGGATGAAGAGAGAGGTCCCATCTGGGAGACAGTCCTGAGAGAATGGAGTTCACAAGAGTGGCAACCACAGGTGATGCTGAGTTTTCTAGTTTGAAAGACTGATATTTCAAATGACTTTAAAAATCTGAAGAAGAAATAAGTTTTAGGGAGAAATGAGTTCTATTTTGGGTTTGAGGTGACTGCTGAACACACAAGAGGAAATATCGGCTAGATCAGTGATCCGCAAACTGTGGCTCGCGAGCCACATGTGGCTCTTTGACTTCTTGAGTGTGGCTCTTCCACAAAATACCATGGCCTGGGCAAGTCTATTTTGAAGAAGTGGCATTAGAAGAAGTTTAAGTTTTAAAAATGTGGCTCTCAAAAAAATTTTTCAATTGTTTTACTGTTGATATTTGGCTCTGTTGACTAATGAGTTTGCCAACCACTGGTCTAGATAGTCAGAAATCCCTATCTAGAATTTAGGAAAGAGAGGAGCTAGAGATGAAGATTTGGAACTAGTAGCATACAGTTGATTGTCAAAGCCATGGGAAAGGAGATAACAATAACAGACAATACTTTTTGAGCATTTATTATGCACCAGGCACTATTCTGGAAATGTTACATTTATCACTTCATTTCATCTTCAACAACCTAATGAGGCAGGTACTATTTTCATTTAAACATGAGAGAACTGAGGCACAGAAAGGCCAGTTTGCTCAAGGTCACACATGTAGTCAGGGGTGATGCCAAAATGAGATTATTTAGGAAGTGTATGTGGAAAGGATTGAACTTTATTAAGCATCAGTATTAATGGCTGAGAAGAGAAGGAGCCTGAGAAGGAGACTTAGATGAATAGTTATTGAGTTAGGAGGAGAGCCAGAGAGTGTCATTGATAGCCAAATGCAAATTAACTTAATAAGGTAAGTACCGCAGGTGTCTGGCACTACTGTAGGAGGTCAAATGCCAAAGCAGAGTCACAGAGAATCAGGCTCTGAAGCTAGGTGTCCACAAAAGCTATTCAGGTTTGGTTCATTGCTGCCAAGATTCCTCTTTAAGGAATCTAATAAAATATAGAAAAAGAATTATTTCCCTTTGGTTACTGTTTACAGCTAAAGTAAGAAGAAAAATCCCTTCCTGAGATGATTCAGTTGTGTGGGCATGGGAAGATAGTGGAGAGATGGGGAAGTTGGTGGGGAAGGTGAGCGCCCCATACCAGATTCTGCTGAGTAAACAAGCTGAGCTGGGCAGGAGGGAGGACAGGAGAAATTGTGGGAGAGTCCTTGCTCTGCCAAGGCCTGCAGCTCTACCGCCCCCTACCGTGACTCTGATGGCGTGGGTAGGTAGCAGTGGGTGTCCAGCTGGCCCTCCAGCTGTGCCTGAAATCGCCCCATGTCCCTATCTTCTCCCTGGTGTTGCCTTGTTTCTCTCTGGATAGACTTAACTACTGTTTGACACCAGGTTGGCATTGGAAATGTCATGGGATTGCCATTTAACAAATGACACTCCTGTGCCAAAGAAAAGATCTGATCTTTCCTTCTTTCTGTTTACATTTCCACAGGAAGAACTTTTATACATGTTTCAAAAGTCTTAACATAATAATAGGTGACATAACTAAATGATATATCTATAAATTATAACATGCAAAACAATATTCCTTTCTTTTTATCCTCACTCAAGGACATTTTTAAAATTAATTTTTAGAGAGAAGAAGGAAGAGGAAGGAGAGAGAAATATCTATGTGAGAAAGAAACACTGATTAGTTGTCTCCTCTACAAATCCTGACCTGGGATTGAACCCACAAACCTTTTGGTGTATGGTATGATCCTCCAACCAACTAAGCCGCTGGCCCAGAAGAGTATTCTTTAAGCTTAAGAGTGTCACACTTTCTACATTTATTTGTTAAGTTTGGCATTTAAAGTTGTATCTTGGCCCTGGTCACGTGCACACCCACTGGGTAATTCAGTTGGTTAGACTGGCAGTGTTTCCCAAAGTGTGGTATGCGTACCCCCAGGGGTACAGGAAGAGTTTGGTGGGGGTACCCGTTGCACCAGAGTTTGGTAGGGATATATACTGCATCATGCTTAGCTGCACCTAATTCTACGTTCTCATGAGTACGAGGGGTACTCAGCATTACGAAAACTATAGAAGGGGTACACATATGTCAAAAGTTTGGGAAACACTGGGTTAGAGCATTGTCCCAATACAACCAAGGTTGTGGGTTTCATCCCTGGTCAAGGCATATGAAAGAATCAACCAATGAGATTGTAAGACGGCTACAGAGTAACTGGAAGCTGCTCACCACCACTAATTAAAACCATAATGAGATACCATCTCACACCTGCCAGCATGGCTACCATTATTAAATCAACAAATAACAAGTGCTGGCAAGGATGTGGAGCAAAAGGAATCCTTGTGCCCTGCTGGTGGGAATGCAGACTGGTACAGCCACTGTGGAAAACAGTATGGCGTTTCCTCAAAAATTAAAAATGGAATTGCCTTTTGAACCAACAATCCCACTTCTGGGAATATATCCTAAGAATCCAGAAACACCAATCAGAAAGGATAGATGCTCCCCTGTTCGTGGCAGCATTATTCACAACAGCCCAAGTGCCCGTCAGTAGATGCATGGATAAAAAACAACTGAGGTACATTTGCACAATGGAACACTACATGGCTGTAAAAGAGAAGGAATGCAGACCTTTGTGACAGCAGGGATGGACCTCGAGAGTATTATGCTAAGTGAAATAAGCCAGCCAGAGAAAGACAAGCACCATATGATCTCACTCATATGTGGAATCTAATGAACAAAACAAACCGATGAACAGGAAAGAGCCAGAGGTATGGATACATGGAACAGACTGGGAGCTGTCAGAGGGGAGTGGGGAGGGGGAATGAGTGAAAGAGACTAACCAAAGAACATATGTGCATAAGGCATAGACACAAACAACAGTGTGGGATGGCCAGAGGGAAGTACAGGTGGAGGCTGGGTGGAAGTGGGCAAAGGGGGGTGGGGAAGGAGATGGGGACATCTGTAATAGCAGCAACAATAAAAATAAAGTTAAAAAAAGAAACTACCAATGAATGCATAAATAAGTGGAATAACAAATTGATGCTTTTTCCCCCTCTCTCTCTCCCTCTCTTTAAAATAAAATTTAAAAAAAGTTTCTTTCATTTTTTTAATACATTTTTATTGATTCCAGAGAGGAAGGTAGAGGGAGAGAAAGATAGAAACATCAATGATGAGAGCGAATCATAGATCGGGTGCCTCCTGCACTCTCCCCACTAGGGTGGGTTCTCTTGAAAGCTAAGAGAATAATGTTTGAAAAGTAGCTCCTTTGAAGATGACTGCTATGAACAATGCGGGTGTTTACTTCCTTGCAAAGTTGATCTTGCTTTCTTTTCTGGGAAACGTTTTGTGGTTTCTAAAACCAGTGATGATGTGTGTTGAGAAACAAAGTAACATAGTTAAAGCAAAACCCATAACCATTGGTGTTCTAATGTACTTAACATTGGTGTTGAATTATGGATTTCCAAAAGTGTAAAGGTCATTCAAATATTACTCTTAAAGAAAATTCTTGAATCTCTAAACCATTAGTATTTTATTCTACTTCCACTAAGGTTTAAACATCTTAGCAATGTTTTCTCAGAGCAGAGCTGGATGTAAAGGGCTTGGGGATTTTCAATGGACCCGAACTAGAACCAATCATGGCTCCAGAGATGGTGGGGGGGATGCTAGTATCTCACACACACCCACACACACACGCACTGCACCTCACTTCAAAGCACACCTTACCTCGTTCTGGAGCCTCACAGTCAGGGTCAGTTTCACAGAAGTGGTTCCGGTCTGTGTCAGAGCCATGCTGCTTTGAAAAAACTTAAAGGTAGCGGAAACAACATGTTAGTTGGATGTAGCTGCAGTTTGAAATGGTTTTGGTTCGAGTGATATTTTTAAAAAATATTTTGTATTGATTTCAGAGAGAGGAAAGGAAGAGGGAGAGAGGGAGAGAGAGAGATAGAAACATCAATGATGAGCGAGATCATTGATGGCTGCCTCCTGCATGCCCTACACTGGGGATGGAGCCTGCAACCAGGACATGTGCCCTGACCAGGAATGGAACCCAGACCTCCTTGTTCATAGGTCGATGCTCAATTACTGACCCACCACAGCCAGGCAAAAGTGGTATTTCTGAACTCCTCCCCAGGCCCCACTGATCAACTTGGTGGTCCCTGAGTAAGAATTTGACAGTCCTCCAGGTGCCCACAGTGTACGGATATATCTGAAGAAAAAAAAAGAGGCAAACGTCAATATAATATATTTAGTCTAATGTGCTTTATGTCTGGTGGGAGATCAGACAGAGGAGAGAACAGGTAAATGATGTGTTAGTTCTGTCCAGAAGAGGGACAGGAAGGACACAGACACCAGGGAGGCACTAGAACTTGAGGTGGGCTTCGTTGTCAATTAGCTTATGAAAGAGAAACCAGAAATCTGTGTTTCCTGTTCATGATCAGAGGGTTTTTTGTAACTGTTCAGTCTTACGGGAAACTGACTTGGCAGCTAGGTGGCTTGGCAGCTAGAGGAAAGTCTGTTTTCCCTCTTGCCCAAGTTAGGATTGTTTGGTTGGGAAGCTGCATTGGGGCAGAAGGGTAAGGAAAACCCCTGGTTCCCTATCAGCTGGGTGGAAACAAATGTTTTCATGGAACAGAGTCTACCTTCCACCGGAGTTCATGCATGGGGAGGAAGGCCACCAAGGCAGCAGCCTCGAGAAAATGGGAGTGGTGTGGGGTGGAGTGGGGTGGGGGAGAGGGGGTATTCGAGAGGCCAATAGTGTATGCTGCGGTTGGATCTTGTTTGTCAGCAAGGGCTGGTTTGGTTGAAATAAGAAAGCGAAAGAGAAGTCAGGGGCCAGAGAAGTCACCTTCCCTTTTTTCGAAGTTGCTTCTCAGCAGAGTGGAAAGCCCCAGCCAGACCCCAGTGCACCAAAAGCATCCTCCCAGGCGCAGGGCAGCCACAGGGCAGAAGCAGCCAGACAGGTCCCGCCGCGCCCGCCCGGGGGCATGGAGCCCATGAAGAAGTTTCAGACGGTCCTGGACCTGTACCTCAAGCACCGCGACACGCTGGGCTACGGCCTGGTCACGCTGCTGACCGTGGGCGGGGAGCGCATCTTCTCCACCGCCGTGTTCCAGTGCCCCTGCAGCGCCACCTGGAACCTGCCCTACGGGCTGGTGTTCCTGCTGGTGCCCGCGCTGGCGCTCTTCCTCCTGGGCTACGTGCTGAGCCCCCGCACCTGGCGCCTGCTCACCGGCTGCTGCAAGGACACCCGCCCGGGCTGCACCGACTGCTGCACCGGCTGCACCGGCTGCTGCCGCGCGGGGCGGCGCGGGGCGCAGGTGTGCGTGCAGCTGACCTGGGGGGCCTCCCTGGCGCCGCTCACCTGGTTGGCCGTGGCGCTGCTCGGCGGCTCCTTCTACGAGTGTGCGGCCAGCGGGAACCCCATGCTGGCGCGGCTCCTGTGCAATGACTCCCTGTGCGTGAAGGAGCTGCCGCTGGTTCCCTGCCACAAGGCGAAGAATGAGACCGTGCAGGCCCTCCTGATGAACCTCAAGGCCCAGTCGCAGGTGAGCGGAGAGGGCGGGCGTCTGGGGGCGGCCCCGGGAAAGGAGAGGTCCGTGCCCATTTCCCAGGCATAGGACACCTAAGACACACCAGAAGGGCTTCTTGCTTCTGGTGAGCCAAGAGGCAAAGGAGGTGATTGATGATGATGTTACAGAGTTCCCGAACCATCAAGCAACGCAGGAGGAGAGTTTGGAGAGATTTACTTTATGCATTGCGGGATGGGCTCAGAGAAAATGAATTCAAATGCTAAGCAAGGCTACAAGCAGAACGTCCCTTTTTACGAAAGAGCCAGCCCTGTGTGCGCTTAGTGGTTATCTCGATGCTGGCCTTGAAAACAATACAGTTCTCTCCAATTAAAAAGGTGCATCTGGCACGGCATTGAGAGTATGGGCGTATCTAGTCTCCGGCCTACAAGGTCATACAGCTAAGTTTATCGTCATCATTCTTCAAGCAGGTGAAAGCAGGCTAGAAAGCAAACATTTTTAGAATAAGAGGCCACAGCAGAAAATTCCAAACAGCAGTTTTTTGTTTTGTTTTGTTTTGTTTTTTACAAAAATAGGGGTTTTCCTTCTCAATGAAAGGGATGGGAAAGACGAGAGGCTCCTCATGTAGCAGCCAGGAGAAGGCAGAATTGTCACAACGCAATGCGTCTGCCTGGCCCTAAGGCACCATCCCACACTTCTTGGAATGCAGAGCTCAGAGACTTTTGAAAACGAACGCTCGCTTCCCTGGACTTGCCAGTATTCCACGTTCTGAGTTCTAGGGGACTGACAGATAGGCATTTCCCTGGACTCTTGACAGGACTTGGGAAATGACTGACTTGCAGAACAAGCAGTTGTAAGAGGGCTTCCGGAGGGTTCCGCAGGGGTTCCGCAGGGGTCCCGGAGGTCACTGCCTCTCTTTTCCCTTACGAGATTAAGACCTCAAATTGTTGCTTATTCATCATGACTGCTGAGTAGTTCAAATTTTTTTTTCCCCTGAGGGTTTAATAATGACTTGTAAAAAATGTGACCAAATTAGTATTTTGATGTGTTTTCCTAGATCCTGGGCTGGATCCTGATAGCCACTGTGATCGTCGTTGTTCTGATTGTTGTGTCTGTCACCCGATGTGCATCTCCAGTTAGTTTTCTGCAGCTGAGCTTTTGGAAAATCTACGTGAAACAGGAGCAGAAGATCCTCAAAAGTCAAGCCATAGAACATGCAACGCAACTGGCAGAAGAGAATGTTAAATGTTTCTTTGAAGGTTCACTTGCGAAGGAAATCAACACTCCGAGCATGAAAGCCTGGCAGCAGATCTCATCCCTATATACTTTCAATCCAAAGAAACCGTACTACAGCATGCTGCACAAGCATGTGCACAGAGAAGAGAAGAACCAGAGTATCAGGAGCACGGAAAGAGATGAGGTGGTTCATGTTCTTGACTTTGTAGATAAACATAATTTACACACCACTGATGCGATATGATCCTGTGAGGGAATAAAAAGAAAAGGGTCCTTTTGAATTATTACTTCATCCTTTAAAAGTGATTATGGTGAGGTTTTACTTTGGTCTTCCAAATTATGGGAGTATGGAATTTTAAATCTGAAATAAAAATGTGTAATGTTACCTCTTTATTATATTAATTTTTTTTTAAAAGCAAGTGGGGTTAAATGTGCCACTGAAAGTGACAAACTGGAACTAGAACAACAGTTTTATGTCCTTTTAGTCTAGGGTCCTTTATGGTGAATAATATTGCTGCTTTCAAATACAAGACTTTATTTAGTAGCAAAAACAACAACAACAACAAAAACAAAAAAAACCCCACAACCATTGAACTTCATATCTTTCTTTTAGGCTACATGATATCGATTTCAGGTTCACTTTCTTGCAAGCAGCACCTTGTTAGGAACTTTAAAATACTGGCATTTTATGTCTCTGAACAAAAATACAAAAATTTATCCTGCAAAGGAAAGTAAAATTGTTTAAATATGAAATTTGAAAAACCAAATTAGGGTAATTACAGACAATAGTTGTTTTTAGTGTGTAGGATTAGAGGAAAACTTTAAAGCTGTTTATTATGGTAAATTTCAAATAGGCACAGAAGTAGAGAAAATGACATTATAAACCTCCAGATAGTCATTACACAGCTTCAACAAAGCAGGGAAGTCCGACAAAACCCATATCATACAAATAAATATAGAGATACACAAGCTGTGGCCTAATGTAGATGAGGGGAGGCGGGGGGGGGGGGGGGAGAGGGGGGGCAGGATGTGTGAGAAACTGAAATCTGCAGAGTAGAAAAGCCTTTCTGTGAGCAGGAACAGTATGTCCCCTCGGCAGAGGCCAAGGGGACAAAGGTCTGAGCCGAGTTGGGAGCCTGAAAGGTAACTGGAAAAATGAGCAAGGGACAGACCATGCGAAAGATTCTAGGTTTGTTCTATGAGCATTTTAGAAATATCGACCTGCTTTTCATGTGGAAAATAGGAATGGCCAGGGGAAGAGGAGAGTCTGCTCAGGAGGCCACCCCAGTGGAAACAGGCAGGAGTGAACTTGAACTGGGTTGATAGTGAGGAAGAGAGAAAAAGTAGACAGATTCAAGGTGGATTTTGAATACAGACATGACAGGATGTGTGAATGGGAAGGACACAAGGATTTATTGAGAAGAAGATTATGTATTGATAAATTATGGTGCTTGATGTTAGGACCTTTCAGGGGACATTCGATTGTCAAATTTGTCCATTCCACAAATTTATGGCTGTTTGTGCATTAAAAAAAAAAAGATATATATGAAAACTTTAAACAGTGAAACAATTGAGCACTGACCATTTTTAGCTGTACTTCCTCTCTTGGCAGACCCTTGTACCAGCTTCTACCTGCTGTCTGTCACAGCACCCATTAAAAAACTACTCAGCAGGGCTGAACATCCTGCGGCTGAGAGTCATGTTCAACAAGACAGCTGGCAGCAGACACTGCATACTTTGGAAAATCGACTTTCACTTTTGCTTCCTTTATTTCACTTCCTAAATTCTTTTGTATATTCTTTCCTTTTTTTATTCTTTTTTTTTTCTTTTTTTTTTTTTCTGGTCTACCATTTATACGTACATTTTCATAGTCTTACATTGTCTCAATTTTGTGGGTCTATGCTCCACATTCCCTTGCCCAGTCTTTAATAATTACTGTTAAAGAATACATGCTTAAGATAAACAATGATAATGGTGGGGAAGCATGTGAAGTGAAGAGTAAAATTGCCTCATTCCTTTGCAATATAGCCTTCCCAGAGGAAGCCTTATCTCTGTGTCTAGACAAATATTATCCCACTATCACTGTGGTGCTCAAACTTTGTCACCTAAAACATGGTTGTTCCGTATACATATGTAACAATTTACCTCATAGAAATTACTGCAATGAATTCTGATTAGTATACTATGATCCCTTTTTGTTAAAGAACAAAAGTACATAGGCACATACATACCTATAAAGATAAGCATTGAATTGTCAAGTTTGATCAATTCTGGAGACTAATAAAGAGAAAGAGGATTGGTTTTCAAACCTCATGCACTTCTGACCTTTTGATGCTTTGATTATATATAATAAATATTAACTGTGTTTTTACAAAAGACTAGGACCCGATGCACGAAATTCATGCAGGTGTGTGTGTGGGGTCCTTCAGCCTGGCCTGCGACCTCTCGCAATCTGGGACCCCTCAGGGGATATCCGACTGCTGGTTTAGATCCAATCAGGCCTAAACCGACAGTCGGACATCCCTCTTACAACCCGGGACCCCTCGCTCTTAACCGCTTGCCTGCTTGCTCCTAACCGCCCACCTGCTCACTCTTAACCACCCACCTGCTCACTCCTTACCACCTGCGTGCTGCTCGCTCTTCACTGCTTGGCTCTCGCTGCTCCTTAGTGCTGCCATGGAGGCCAGAGAGGCTCCAGCCACCACTACTGAGCTCACCACCTGTGAGCCTGGCTTCTGGCTGAGCGGTGCTGCATGGAGCATCTGCTCCCTGGAGGTCAGTGCTCATCATAGCGACTGGTCATTCTGGTTGTTCTGGTAGTTCCACCATAACCGTCACTGGGCTTTTACATATATATATATATATATAGAAGGACCCTTACACTGTCGTCAAAGCTGTTTTGCATCTTCCACCTCATTTCATTTTCATGTGTTTGTGGGGCACCCATGCAACACATCACTCACACTTACAAATGAGGAATTGAAGAGGAGAGATTACCTTACTAGACCAAGGTCACAAGATCAGCGAAAGCAGAACTGAAGCTAGGGGCTGATCCTCGCTGGATCATGTGGTACAAAGTGGCTATGTGGCTGTTTTTATTACAGAGTTTTCTTTTTTAGCCTATGTGTCCTTATAAGCAGAGAAGATAAAGATGCCCTTAGCGACCCCAATATTTCTCATCTCATTCAGAAACTTGGTGACTGTCGATGGCTAAAACAATTTGGAGCAAAGAGACCGTTGCTAATGTTATGCTTTGTAAATTGTGTCATCTTGCCAGTACTCAATGCATTGTAGAATCAACCCTTACAACAATATGGTTGTTTTTCAACAAATATTCTTAGCAGGTGCTGTGTCTGGACCTCTTCCTATTAAAAAATGACAATAAATTGCCTAATCTTATACAATTTTTTTTTCCATGTGGAAGTTTCTTATGTTCTGTTCCTTGTAGCAAAGGTTCTTAACAGACCATATCCCTTTTTTGATACAGGTCTCTTTCCTTGGATGTTTTTCAAAAAATATGGTTGTTTTTCAACAAATACTCTTAGCAGGTGCTGTGTCTGGACCTCTTCCAAAGTTAAAGCTTTAGGGTAGCATAAAGCCAGGGTACTTATGAAGAATCAGTTGGTGAGACAGCAAATAAATGTACACCAGTGTAGGGATGCTTCTTGAGCCCATCACGTGGCCTGTTTGAGGCCAGACTCAGAGGAGCAGTGTATTTATGATAAAGACAGTAGTGCCGTGATGGGAACATGGTGACCACTGTTAGGCAGGACACACCACTCCTCTGAGTCTGGCCTCAAACAGGCCATGTCATGGGCTCAAGAAACATCCCTACACTTGGTGTATATTTATTTGCTGTCTCACCAACTGATTCTTCATAAGTACGCTGGCTTTATGCTACCCTAAAGCTTTAACTTTGGAAGAGGTCCAGACACAGCATCTGTTAAGAATATTTGTTGAAAAACAACCATATTGTTGTAAGGGTTGATTCTACAATGCATTGAGTACTGGCAAGATGACACAATTTACAGAGCATAACATTAGCAACGGTCTCTTTGCTCCATTCAAAGGCATGGAGAGAAAGATCAGTGGTGTAGGAACTGATTAAAAAAGCAAGTCCTGAGGGAAGCATAATAATATATAATTAGCCATGTACAGAAATGGCTGGTTGAAAAATATCTTGCAACCCCGAAGTTTCATATCTTGCATCTCATCTACCAGGTGGCCTATTGTAATAATTCTTCTGAAAAGACAACAGATGGAGAGATGCCCTCTGAGTCAACCCCAGCAGCAGCAACCACTGTCTATTTTGTCAGCAACAAACTCCCATTGAGGTCCACCATGTGTCAAACACCCAGCGGACCCTGCGTGCTGAGCCTTTAGTTGATTACTTTGACGCTTGCTCTTAATTACCTACTTATGAAAGATCAGTTGTGAATAGCAATATGACAACAGTGGAATTAATTATATTACATTCTTATCCAAGGAAAGATACCTGTATCAAAAAAGGGATATGGTCTGTTAAGAACCTTTGCTACAAGGAACAGAACATAAGAAACTTCCACAGGAAAAAAAAATTGTATAAGATTAGGCAATTTATTGTCATTTTTTAAAATGTGAGATAACAAATGTAGAGAAGCTGTAGAGGAACTGAAACATTTATGTATACTTTAAAGAATAATGAGCCCAGGCAGTGTTTTTCCTCTGAGTGAACTGAAGAACCACACATTTCTCTCTGATGCCTAAATCATCTAGTGACTGAGTCAGACCTTTGAACACGCTGGGATAATCAACAGAATATAAGAAGATGCTGATTTAAAAAAAAGAGTAAGCGATGCTCTCTTTTAGACTACAGATGTTTATAGGTCTGGAGTTTGAGAAATGAGGCCTAAGACTTAATGGAATATGTTATTGTGAAATTAAAATCACATGGAAATGTGTATGTATGTGTGCATATATGTACATGAGTTCTCTAATAGTACCTTGTGTACATTTTTAGTAGTTCATTTTTCTAGGAGAATATTACTTAAGAAAACTTAATTTAATAAGATTATTGCTAATGGCCAGACAGGAATTTATATACTCAATAGTCACAGATTGCTTTTCAATCCCTGCAGCTCACTTTTCAGTGATTCTTCTTGTCAAGTTTTGGGCTCTGTTTAACCAATGACCTCATGTTCACCATCAAATTCTTAATACATTAATTTTCAGTCATTCAAAAAACAGTCAAATATATTACCTACTATATGTGGGAGTCTTTATAATGTCAAGATTAAGAATTCAGTCCCTGCAACACCCTTTCTTGATAAAAACTCTCAGCAAAGTGGGAATAGAGGGATAATACCTCAACATAATAAAAGCCTTATATGACAAACCTACAGTCAA